ACTGACCTGGAACTCACTGTGTAGCCCAGGCTGGTCTCAAACTCACAGCAATCCTCCTGCCTCAGCCTCCTGAGTGCTGGAATTACAGGCATGTGCCACCACACCCGGCTATCGGTGGTTTTTTTAATAACCTTTGTTCTACATAAGCCCGTATGCACTCACCTTACATAAGGAAGTAAAGTATCACTTAGTCATTAGTTTTTGAATTATGTTATGAAAGCAAATAAAATGACTTTATAATTTAATTATGATTATTCTAAAAAGCCACAGTAAGGGTCTTAGGCATGTATTCTATTTTGTACTTTTATGTCTTTTGATCATCAGTTCTATTAGCTCAGTCACTGTTTTAAATGTTATTATTATATCCAGTAATCATATATTAAAGTGCTTCTTCTTAATTACAGCATATTAAACTTCTTTTTAATCCTTTAGGTGCTGGAAATCTAGAGGAGGTCAGTTTTTCAAAATTTTTCTTCTCATATGATACTGCTATACTTAAAATACTTAACAATTAATGTGATTCACCTCCTGTTGGCAAAAACCAAACATAAAATTTTAATGACTAACGATGGTATTTTTCCATTTTTAATCTTATTTCATCTAAAATGCTTGAGACATTAAACACCAGTCAGCACACTGACTCACAGGAATGCTGTAGTGCTGAACATAAACTCATGTCTGGTTGAACATCTGAATGATACAGCAAGAGAGAAAAGTAAATATTTTTGAGCTTAATCCCGTACTCTATCTTCTAGGACAAAAAAAATTTTTTTGCAAATATGACAAACTTACTTATACTTAAATTATATAAACTCAAAAATATTTGTTTTATAAATAGTGATCACTGAAATATGTGTATGATGCCTTCTTATATAATTGAAATTGATCATTATCTATTTCCCTTGACAGGATCAAGACAGTGAAGGAGAAACCTACGAAGACATGTATGAATTACACTTTTTACTATAATAGTTTTCTTCTAAGCTGAATATAATGTTTTGTAAGAAGTGTGGGTAAACACCACCATAAGGAGGGAAGAGCTTTATTTGTTCAAATGATTGGCATGTAAGGATAACCTTTGTTTCAATACAAAGAACTAAGCATTCTTTACTTCTCTAAGGATTCTACAGAGACTGCTAACAAGCTGTTGGGAGAGGCCCAAGGCCTGCAGACTACTAGTGACCACAAGCAGGGATCTAGATGCAGGAATTTGTATTTCTTGCTCTCAGTGTAACCTTGAGCAAATGGATTAATTTCTTTGTTCTACCTTCTTCACGCAGGCAGGGGTGGGAGGGTGGGGCTGTGAGAAGTAGTTTAATGCAGCACCCAGATGACAAACTTCCAGCTTGCTGGAAAAATGTTAAAATGTCTCCAAAAACAAACAAACAAAGCAATAGTCTCCAAAATGGATTTTTAGGTAGTCTAAGACCAAGACACTTCTTGAAATGTGAGTGAAAGTAGAAATGAACATTTTAAAATCATGTTGAGCTCAGATATCTTAATTTTCTCTACCTAGTTCTTACTCAACTCACTCTGACCAAAGTTACTAAACCAGGGTTTGCATATGAGGGAGAGAGATTAATAATTTTATTTATCCCAGCATGCAAGGACAGAACCTTTCTAAAAGTGTCTTGCACTTCTAAAAGTGTCTTGCACTTGGTGGCACAAGTTGTAAGGGGCAGCAGAACCCTTGGAAAGCAGCCTCATCTTTGTGCCTCCTACTGGCTTTTAAAACAGTCTCACACACCCAGGATTATCTCACCTTGCTCTACACTTTGGAGACCATGGCTGGTGTCAGGTTAAACGTCTGTGGAGTGTCCCCCAACACATCAAGCCCTGCATGTACAGAAACAACCTCTTTGTGTCCACAGAGAGGCATCCAAAGAGCGAGACAAGAAACGGGAAAAGGAGGAAAAGAAGAGATTAGAGCTGGAAAGAAAGGAACAGAAAGAGAAAGAGAAGAAAGAACAAGAATTAAGGAAAAAATTTAAAGTAAGAGCTTCCTTGTTGATTTGTGAGTTTCATTTGAGAAGGGCACCATTCTTGAAAACTTGCATAGTCGGAGAATTAACTGTAGTTTTCAAAACAGAATTTTTCTTCTTAAGAGTACTTTTTGCTCTATATACTATCTAATCCCTGCACTAAAAATGCAAAAAAATAAAATCCAAATAAAATATAATTTAGAGGCTTACAATCAGTAAGAATCCTGGAAATTCTGTGTTGACTGAGTGAATGGATATTCCATTACTCAAACTCAACTTGGCTGTTCTTGTTACATGTTTTCTATTGGCCTATTCATTCCATGAGTTTAAGACCGCACACACATAAATGTTCCCATGGCACATAATATGGTGGTACAGTGACACGAGTGCCCCTAGATGAACCAGATTTGTCTCAGGATAATATTTCTTTGAACTACTCTAGTTGCTGGTGTCTGAACCTGACTTGCACATTTGCTTTTATTTTAAGCCCGTGTACATGTTGACTTCTAATATCTACTATTTTTCATTCCTCTTTGTCTACCTTGATTTTTTACCCTAGTCTTTTCTGATCTCTGATAACTCTGTGACTTCTGTTAGTACCAACACTAAACAATACGGTCACAGGCTGTTTTCTCATGTTTTCTCTCTACCATCATAGCCCATCTAATATAGGTCTGGTACCTCAAATATATTTTGAGCGATTATCTGAATTACAAACTTATTCTTCACTTTACAAAGAATTGATATGATTTTTTAAAAATATGTATTCCTCTGGAGCATTCAATATGTGGTTTTAATTTACCTTGGAGATTAGTTCCCAGTAATATGTACATTACATTAAAGTAGAGACTCAATAGCATAGTGCAGGGAAAACAGCTAAAAGGCTTTGGACAGATGTGGATTCAAAATCCAGCTGTACATATGGTTATTTCATCTTGAGATTCTTCCTTCACTTCTCTGAGGCTCAGATTCTTACCCTTTAAAATTAAAATCAATTATATATTTCCAGAAAGTTTGTTATGAGATGAAATAAAATACTGCACAGAACTTACCATGTACATCTCAGGTTATCTTTAAATTTTGAAAAAAAAAACATTATATACAAGTATAATCATGACTGTATTATAAATATTAAAATGTTTTGCACAGAATGGATGGCTAACAATTTATATTTTTCAAGGGGAAATTTTTCTTAAGTGAAAATCCATATAATACAATTACTAAAGAGATTATAGTTTACAAGGAACTGTGTGAGATTTTGTTGTTGTCATTCCTTTTGGAAATAATTTAATAAAAAAAAAGAATGTAGAAGTCTTATCACTATATATAAACCCTAAATTTTGCCAACACTAGGACTTTATAAACTATCTTCCTCCCACAAAACGTTAATAGATACTGAGTAAAACATTAAATAAATGTGAGAATTGAGCCCCATCAATATCATGGCATACTGTATTTCAATTTAAGCTTTTAAAAAATCTTACTGGCTGGGGATTTAGCTCAGTGGTTCTGGCACCTGCCTCACAAGCACAAGGATCGAAGTTTGATCCCTGGTACCAAAAAATAAACAAGAACTTTTTAAAAAATTAAAAATATTACCCGTACATAATTGATAATATGTCCTACAATATGGCATAAAATAGCATAATAAATTCAATAAAATACAGTGAAACTTTCAAAACTCACAATTCACATTTGCATATCGAAAGATCCAAGAAATTCTGTTGAACATACCAATTCAGGAAGGAAATTAGGAGTTTAGAATTCATGGTCTAAACTAGATTATTTCCCTGATGTCAAGAAAACACCACACTATTCAGGGAATTAATTTTTAAAAGCTCACAGAGAACTTGTTTGCTTTTTTTTTAATTTATGAAACTATTTCTAAAATGTTATGTTGTTTGCAGCAGACAACATCTATTCTAAATGTATCAATGGATACAATAAAGATTTTTTAAAATAAGAAAAGAAAAAGACAGAAATTGCCTTTGACACAGTACCACAAACCATCACCACCTTTCCTTTTACTGATTTAGGTCTACCAAGAATATCAGAATAACTATATAAGGCATCTGGGGTATAGTTCAGTGGTAGAACACAGGCTTAGCATGCACAAGGCTCTTGGCTTAATCAATCAAAAGAGAGGAGAGAAGGAAGGAAAAGGGAGAAAGAAAGAAAGAGAGACACTCGGGAGGCTGAGGCAGGAGGATCACTGTGAGTTCGAGACCAGCCTGGGCTACATAGTGAGTTCCAGGTCAGTCTCAACTACATAGTGAGACACTGTCTCAAAAA